TTAACAATATTATGAATTGAAATAAAAGTGTTGTGTGTAGATAGGGAAGTCTGGGCATCTCTGCTGAGCCTTCTGCCCCCGACACTTGGCAATGGATGAAGCAAAAGAAAATGGGTGGATCGATGTTTATGTTATCATATTACCAATGTTTAAAATGTCCATACATCTTAATTGCTTGTTGAGTGCACAACCTTCGTCCCCAGTGGAAAAGCTCGGACGCCCCCGGTGGACCCTGAACCCTGCCTTTGATCGTGACCAGTTTTACGCACCCACTCCGATCAGGTTGCGTCTAAACCATAGACTGTATATAATAACGGACAGAGTCACGCCTATCTCCGCCGTTCATAGGAGTTGGCAATGAAAAGTGCTTTCATGGAGCAATCCAAGATGGCCGCGAGTGGTCCCGCCCACAGGAAAATTGTGAAAAAACGCATCTGCGCATGCGTCAGCCGGCGCAGCTCCATTCATTTGAACGAGAGACTTAAAAAATTCACAGCAAGTAAACTAGAGTGGACCAAAAAAATTCACCCCCCTCAGCATTGACACACATGTGGAACGGAGCTTTGGGCCAAGAGCCAACTTTTGGACCATCCTGTAAAGACGTTTTTGAGAGGTCTGCCAACGCTATATGTTAGCATTGGCTAATTCTTCTTCTGGGTCCACCCCCATCGGCCCGGGGTGGTATTGCAGCATGTCAGCGCACGTCATTTTGGCCACTTTTGAGCCGGGACCCGCCCCCACTGGTCTAAACCATAGATTGTATATCTCGTTCCTTATTTAGCTTCATCCTTTAAATCTTACCTTTCATATCTCCTTGATAGGCCAAATGAAAGTAAACACAGTAATAAACGATTTGAAAACAGTAGACGGGGCTGGAGTGCTTCTTGGATGTAAAAATTAAATGAGGAAAAAAAGTGAGGGAAAAAAGTAAACTTTTGGTGCTCTTCAGTGGATGGACCAATGTAGATAGTTCAGACAGAAGACTGAGGCACTCAAAAGTTACAAAAATCTTTAAAAGCCTTTATTTGACATGGCAAAAAGAGGTTAAAATTACGCCTACGCGTTTCAGCCTTCTGGCCTTCTTCAGGGCATACTCGAGAGGAGTGTCTCAGTACAGATTTAAAGAGAATGGTGCTTGTCACATGGTCAGTGGGCGGGCCTACAGTCACAAGGTTTAAAATCGGGAAAAAATATTGAAACTCCCAAACAAAGTGCAAAATATTATATACACACCTATAAAGAATACAATATATAAGAAATATAATCAATGGTCTTTTTTTAAAAAGTACTTAAAGAAAAGGAGAATAGTCCAACTCCCCATTTAAGCCTGGGAATTGAGTGGCTTTTAAAGTATATTTCCAGTAGGACTCTCTTTGAAGTAATGTCTTGAGTCTATTTCCTCCTCTTATTGTCTCTGGAATATGCTCAATGCCACAGATCTTCAGGCTACTGCAACTTCCATGGTTGGAGTCTCTGTAGTGTAGAGCCATTGGATATTGTGGGTTTTTTGTCCTTATAGCTTGCTTGTGTTCGGCCAGTCTGTTTTTCAGTTTCCGTTTTGTACGGCCTACATAGAAGCGGCCGCAGGGACACTCAAGTCTATAAACTACAAAGGCAGTATTACAATTGATGATTGTTTTGATGGTGAAAGTTTGTCCAGATGAAACTTCCATAAAGTGATTAGTACGCTGAATATGGTCGCAGTATGTACAGTTTCCACATCTATAACAGCCACTTTGAGTGTTCAGCCATGTATTTGATAAAAGGGGTGGAAGGTAGCTGTTCACCAGTTTATTTCCAAGTGTTGGGGCTTTTCTAAAACTTACTGTTGGTGAATCTGGGAGGGCCTCTCTCAATGTACTGTCGCTTTTTAAGATGCTCCAATTCCTGTTGATTATTTGTTTTATTTTATTGGCTTCTGTGCCAAATTCAGTTACAAAGTAGACCTGGTTAGAACAGTCATTTGACTTTGTTTTCTGTATTAGCAGTTGTTCTCGATTCTGATGTTTTGCTCTGTTGTAGGCTGAATCTATGGTGCTGGGGGTGTACCCTCTGTTCTTGAATCTCCTTTTCATTTCTTCGGCATTTTCCTCAAAGTTTTTGTCTGTGTCACAGATTCTCCGTAGTCTTTGAAATTGACCAACTGGTATATTTTGTAACAGCCATGGAGGATGGAAGCTGTCTGCTTTAAGTATAGTATTCTTATCTGAAGGTTTTCTAAAGATTGTGCTATGTAGATCCCCATAACTGTCTTTGTATATTTTCAAATCTAGAAAATGTATTTCTGTTAGTGAATAATCTAGACTGAGTTTGATATTGATATTGCTGGTGTTCAAATAAGTATGGAATTCTAAAAGTTCTTGTTCAGATCCAGACCACAAAAGTAGAACATCATCAATATACCGACCCCACCACAATATTTTGTCTTTATATTGGTTGTCCGTTGAAAACACGTATTTCTCTTCCCAAAATCCCATATAGAGATTTGCATAATTTGGTGCAAAGCAGGCTCCCATGGCAGTGCCTTTTTGTTGTCTATACAGTTGTTGCTGAAAAAGAAATACATTGTTCTTTAATGTCCATTCTGTCAATTCTAGCAAAAGGTCAGCAGGGGGGAGTGTTTCTGGATACACCCCCAGCACCATAGATTCAGCCTACAACAGAGCAAAACATCAGAATCGAGAACAACTGCTAATACAGAAAACAAAGTCAAATGACTGTTCTAACCAGGTCTACTTTGTAACTGAATTTGGCACAGAAGCCAATAAAATAAAACAAATAATCAACAGGAATTGGAGCATCTTAAAAAGCGACAGTACATTGAGAGAGGCCCTCCCAGATTCACCAACAGTAAGTTTTAGAAAAGCCCCAACACTTGGAAATAAACTGGTGAACAGCTACCTTCCACCCCTTAAATCAAATACATGGCTGAACACTCAAAGTGGCTGTTATAGATGTGGAAACTGTACATACTGCGTCTGCGACCATATTCAGCGTACTAATCACTTTATGGAAGTTTCATCTGGACAAACTTTCACCATCAAAACAATCATCAATTGCAATACTACCTTTGTAGTCTATAGACTTGAGTGTCCCTGCGGCCGCTTCTATGTAGGCCGTACAAAACCGAAACTGAAAAACAGACTGGCCGAACACAAGCAAGCTATAAGGACAAAAAACCCACAATATCCAATGGCTCTACACTACAGAGACTCCAACCATGGAAGTTGCAGTAGCCTGAAGATCTGTGGCATTGAGCATATTCCAGAGACAATAAGAGGAGGAAATAGACTCAAGACATTACTTCAAAGAGAGTCCTACTGGATATATACTTTAAAAGCCACTCAATTCCCAGGCTTAAATGGGGAGTTGGACTATTCTCCTTTTCTTTAAGTACTTTTCAAAAAAGACCATTGATTATATTTCTTATATATTGTATTCTTTATAGGTGTGTACATAATATTATGCACTTTGTTTGGGAGTTTCAATATTTTTTCCAGATTTTAAACCTTGTGACTGTAGGCCCGCCCACTGACCATGTGACAAGCACCATTGTCTTTAAATCTGTACTGAGACACTCCTCTCGAGTATGCCCTGAAGAAGGCCAGAAGGCTGAAACGCGTAGGCGTAATTTTAACCTCTTTTTGCCATGTCAAATAAAGGCTTTTAAAGATTTTTGTAACTTTTGAGTGCCTCAGTCTTCTGTCAGAACAGTAATAAACGATTTTGAGTCATATTTAGTACACTACAGTTTAATTGATGGGCGACGGAAGCAAGTGTATCTGTCTGCGGCCTGCAGTACGGAGGCGTGTCGTGTCGTTTGGTGACGTCACCACACGACACGCCTACTACACGATACGCCCACTCTACGTTTCGTAAAGGGGTATGAGCATGGATCTAGTATAATACTGGTATGATTAGTAGTAAGTACCTACTATCTATGCCCAATAATGAATTTATGTGCAATAATGAATTTTATGGGGCATGTCATTGTCATCATTATTTATTGGGGGGAAATGGACGAATTTTGTAAATATCAAAGTTGTAAATTTGCCTACAAAAGCTGCCATTACTTCAGACTACTTTAGACAATCAATAGGGATTTGAAGCAGCTCCGGACAAAAGTTAACGAGTCTAAAATAATGTCAGTGCTTGTGTAGATTCATTTATAAAAGGGGCCTCTAGTTGGTGGCTCAAATCCTGGCTGCCCCAAGTGCAGTCTGGTATGTTCTTGAGCAATGCACTTCACCCACATGTGTGGACATAGTGAGAGACCGCTTGGTGGTGGCCAATAGCACAGATTAGCAGCCTGGCATCCTCCAACCCAGCTGTGTGGAATAAATGAATAAGACTACAGTGTGGCATTTTGAGAAACTTGTCAACACAGGATTGAAAAGCACAATACAAATTAAAGCTATTATTACACCACCACCACACACTCCTACGCCCACGGTCTCACATTACTGGTCATAAAGAGACCATGCCAGAACATTTTTGTGCCCAGCTCCCTGCTTTGGCATTTTGGGACAAGCAGACATTCATTATTATTGTGTTTTGTCAAATATGTAGAAGAGAGAGATTAAACATCAAGAACATCTTATTGTAATCTGGCATTTTATGTACATGCTTTTTTATGAATTTGTGTTATGTGAATGGCTCTGAAATGTAGACACTGAATAAGTTCTACACAAAATAAATATTGCAACCACATTTTTTTTCAAAATTTTAATCTTGAGAGAAAGGCTTCAGAAGAGACCGGTAATCTCCATCTTTCTTCAAATGCTTTCAGCTTCCCTGCTGCCTCCTCCGGTAAATGTCTCACCAGGGCATTCAAAATCAGTTCAAAAAGAACAATCACAGATTAGATGTTGCAGTGAACATTGAAATATTTCTATCAATATTTAAAATAATCTTACCATGGTTCATACTTTGGCCCCTTTTTGAGTTTTCCAATTGCCTCTTGCAATGGAGGTGAAATGCCTCGGCCAGAGTGTGAACTGTCACCTAGATAAGAGTGAAATGTGTTACATTCAACAACAACAATTCACAAAACCAAATGCAGCCTTAAACTATGTTGTGTCCTGTTTAATAAATTGTCAGTGACTTGCACTTATGACTTTATGGTCTCTGTACATCAACAATGTTGCAATGCAGACTTATTTTTAGTAGTGTACATCCAGGAAACATGTACCATGAGATGTTTATTTTTGAGGGGGATCAGTGTTTGTTTTATGCACACTTTCATTACAATAGTCCCTGTGCCAGCCTGGTGGCGCTCGGGCCTACTAATGTAAAACAAAAATTATGTTAATCATGCTATACTTACGGTACGAGCACATTCATGACGACGTCAATCCAGTCGTTCTGCTGTCTTGCTCTTGGGGTCTCCGTGATGACGGCAAACAAGAAGGAGACAACCTCATCCAGTTGCTCGTCCTCAAAGTAAAGGGTTGGCCTCTCCCTCCTGGATTCCCATGTTGAAACAAAGACCCCAGTCAAGATAGCCGTAAAAATAATAGTTACATTAGAGGATGGAGATGGTCATTATTGATAGTAATAGCCATATTGACAGTATGACTAAAATGACATAAAAATTATTGAGAAAGCCTTTCACTTTGAAATCTTACTAAGTATATCTTCATGCTGATAAGTTTACCTCAAGGTTTTCCCTAATTGATCTGCTCCCCTTCATGCACTTGATCGTCAGCACACACAAGTTGCCGCACCCGCTGTGTTTCTTTAACCGCTTTCTAAAATTTAAAAATATATTTCTCACAAATAATTTCGAAATACTGGTTGTTAATAATTATGGAGTGGCTTTTCACTATCCTCCAGTAACTCACAATTGTTCTAGCATTCGTTATTCCATAACATTGTCATCAGTATCAACATTAAAATCATAACATGTGCACTTTATGTAATGTCTTATAATGTTGTCAGTCACTTACCAACTGTGTTTGCTGGACAATTTCAGTAATTTTTGCCTTGCACTGGTTGGTCATTGTCCAAGGGCGCTGCTGAAAAAGGATGCAAGTTGCTAATGTGTTAGTTCAAGGCCACTATGAATATCACTCAGTAATGATTGTGATGTCACATTTTTACATTTGTCTCTTCAGTAGGCTGTCTCTTCCTCTTCAGTCTGAAGATGGGGGAAAGACACCCATTGACCATTTGTTTTCCCTCTTTGGTGAAATGAGCAAACCGTCCTCCATGCCTGAAGAAACAAATAATAGAATCCAGAAAAGCACCTGAAACATTTTTTTTTTTTGTCAAACAATTTCACAGACTTTGGAATAAGCAACCAATAAAACATGTAAATGTCTGGTAGCAGTGTTGTTGAAGAAGATATATACAGATATATACACCACCATCTCCACAGTACTGGCATATGCCCTTTCATGGGTTTGCATGTGTGTGATGATCTGTGCTTCTCCATGTTTAAAACGAGTCACACACATGAGCGTGTTCCTCTGCTTCAGCTCTGCAGCTCCATGTCCATCACTGACAATCGTAGGATGTAACTGAAAGCAGACATAAACAGACATTTGTGCACACTCAGAAACACAAATGTCTTGTACTACGGTCAGTGACTTCTGTAACTGCATAATTGCCTAACTAATTTTCCACTGTGCTTGGACAACATGAAAAGATTATGTTTTTCCTCTTTATTGCCATTTTAACGATGTAAAATGACTTGGGAAATTATGCTATGTGCCTAACGACTTGTTGATCGCACATAGTATGACTCTCAGAAGAAACCCATACGAATGGCTTTCTCTACACTGTATTCGTAGATCCATGTTATTAGTTCACTTCTTAAAAAACATTTCTAATCAGGGTGATGTGCATTTATTCATTAATACACTGTAACTTGTGTGATGGACTAAAAATAAATAAAACACGTTGTTGGTTGTCACTTACTGTTTGCGTAGGGTCTGCCATGTCTTCTCTTCGAGTTTTCAACGGGTTTAAAATTCGTGTAGTAGGCGTGTCGTGTAGTGACGTCACTACGCGACACGCCTCCGCACAGCAAGCCGCAGACAGACCCTTCTCGACGGAAGACTTGTTTACAAAACTGGGCGCAACCATTTCTTTATAAACGAAACTGATACATTGTTGCCAGGTCTGACTTTAATTCATTTAATTTAATTTTTTTTTTTTTTACACAATACGAGTAGCTGCTTTAAACTGGTTTAGACAAGTTCAACCTAAGCTTTAAGACAGGGTCTTATACTTTATTTATCAATACAAATCAAAGTGAAAGTCATTTATCTGAAAAGTCACCAAACCTGGCGACTTACTCCGGCTTGTTCCACAAACAGTAAAATGGAATCTCTGTTAAAGTGTGTTTTGTGCCGAGGGTCAGGAGAAGACATCACCACGGGCCCGTTATCCACTAAAGGAGAAGTGACGGCGCATCAGAACTGCTTAGTGAGTGCAGCCGCCATCTTTATAATACTTGTTGCTAACGTGTTATTACTTCCGCGTATGATGGACCATAGACTGCTTAGATTAATGCAAATGAGACCATGTTCCATAACTAAAACAACACCACCTACGTAATTGCTAACTCTCAAAGTACTCGCAGAGCGCAGACCTCCGCCCAGAGGCGCATTTTCATCCCTGTAAAAGAACGTGCGTGCTTTCAGATCAGACGGGGATCTGGATCGCCTCCAAATGAAGAGGCTTCCAAAATACCCCCATAACTCAGAGGAAACACAGGGGAAACTACAACAAAAATAAAAAAGTAAAATATTGAAATGTTAGCGTAAAAGGACTAAACAACAATAAATAATAAAAATAAAAAAATATAAAAAAAGTGAATATACTTTCTCGAAACACAATATATACAATGCGATAATAAATACCAAGCAAAAGCTAATTTAAAAGGTGTGTCATGAGTCTTCTTCTAAAAACATTCTCTGCTGGTAATATTACTTGATATTTCTTTTATTCTTGATGTAATTTTCGCTTTGCTTTACAGCTGTACTCCTCTGGGCTTTTCTGCCACGATTCCCCACTTTTTGATGACTTGTTTGGTTTCTCTGTTAAAAATGTTCTGTCAGAGAAGCAACGAGGACTCAAACTGGTAAGAAAGACAAAACCAGATCTCGGTTGACTTTTGTATGAAGACTGATACACAGCAATAACACATGTTCCCGTTTCAAAACTACTACACATTACTTTTACAAATCTATTTCAGACCTGCAGCCATTGCAAGAAAAAGGGTGCGACTGTGGGCTGTGAAATCCAAAGGTGCAAGAAGTGTTACCATTACCCTTGTGCTATCGAGGCTGGCGCAAAGACATTTGAGGATAAGAAGAAGGGGACTTTTGGGTAAGTTTATTAGTTTGATCATTTCCCAAAGATCGCTCAATAACCAACTCATTCTTTACATTCAAGGATATATTGCCGCTGCTGTTGGGAAAAAAAATGTAAGTGTACCCTTTATTCTGGATCTTAAAAACTAAAAACAAGACCGCATGAACCCATTTTCAAACGGTGTAGAACTGCTTGTTATTGTTATTCAATTTTGTTGTGTGAAAGAAAAGTCACACACAAGGAATTTTCTTTGGTATTGATTTGTTTTGTTTGTTTATTTGAAATGTAATGATTTTGCTCAAAAGGAGTGGACTGAAGCAGCAATTCAATCTATTCTTTTCTAGCCGTAAATCAAAACAGTAGTAATTTCGGAGGACTTTACAAAACACATTGCTATTGGTCCATAACGGTAAGATAAGCAACGTCCAAGAGTGTTGATAGAAGTGGAACCCCTTCCCCCCTCCCGCCCCCCAAACTCAATACCATCAAACTTTTCATATCACAGTAAGAAATATTACAGAACAAGGACACAAAGGCACAGAAAGCCACAATGACAACAACAGTCTAGTTTAAGTCACAACTCAACAAAGTAAGTAACAAAATGTGACCACATCATAATTTCAGATTGTTACTCACACCAACTGTACTGACGATCACTCGCTTGAAATGAAGACATAAATAAATACATTCATAATATCAATATACTTGTTTCATTCCGAGGAAAGATCTTGCTGTTCTCCAGATGTCATTTTCCTCAGTATAATATTAAAATTTGTAGTTTGTATTATCAACATGAGGACTCCCAGAATTCATCTAGAAACAACTAGAACTTTTGATGCCTCCCATTCACATTCATTCACTACTTCTATCACAATTAATTCTTTCATACAGTTTTTATCTTTAATACATACTAAAACAGTTAAATACGGTATGTGATAATAATATAGTAAAAAAAATAGACACAAACTTTCTAATGTACAAAACACACAATAAACATTTAACAGTGCAGATTATAATCTCACCTGTGATGAAGTTACAGAAGTATGGAAGATTTTTTGTGTCATCAGATTTTGAATTTTTTTTAGCTTGATTTTTTTCATTTGAAATTTTTAACCCTGAAAAAGCATGTTTGAATATTTTTATCTTTGCGTTTCAATCACTAAAAATTCAGTTTACAAATTTCAATGTGATTCAAATTTCAAAATGTAAAAAAAAAAAGTTCAATGAAAAAAAAAGACGGATTATTTGTTCTATCAGAAATTGAATTTTATAAGGAACTGAATTCATCTATTTGAATGTTTTTAACATCTTGAATATATTTTTCTGTGAATTTCAGTCACTGATTATCAATTTCATAATTTGTTTTGAATATTTTGAAGGTGAATATGTCATTTTGAAATTTGAATCGCATTGAAATTCGTAAACTGAATTTTTAGTGACTGAAATGTAAAGATAAAAATATTCAAACACGCTTTTTCAGGGTTAAAAATTTCAAACGGAAAAATTCAAGCTAAAAAAAATCAAAATCTGATGACACAAAAAATCTTCCATACAGAAGGATAAAGTGAGGATTGCAATGGCCTGGGATCTATTATGTTTGTGTTTGTAGGTTTGAAATAAAGAAAAATATACTTTGTTACTTACAAATGGTGATAAACAAGCCTGAATGTGTCCAAACAGATGTGTTTGTTTTCAGCATTAAAATCTGTCCTAACATCTTCAGATGAGGATCAGCCTGGAACCTCTGGTCGGAACCCCAAGGTAAAGCGTGACCTGAATGCAGTCAGGGATTCTTTTGTATTTATTGAATTGTTTGTTTTACAGAGAAAATTGGACTTCGGAGACCGGTAAGACTGGGCATGACAAGAAAGAGTGTGTTTACAAAGCCAATCCTCCGCTTACTCGTCAAGTTAATGCTGATAATACTGATTGACGCATGTAACCGTGCGATACTACGCGTGCGGTGAGCTGCATGTAAACACATCAATCAGATTGGAATGAGACAATGGGCAGCGGTGCATTAAAGCCTGGCCTTAGTCATCCGTAAACTCCAGTCAATTATCCCTAATTATTTCCCTACATGAGTATGATGGTACGGTAAGACCAAGCTGGATGCGTTTGAGTGCACAGGGAAAGACCAGGCTGTGTAAAGGCCCTCGCTGCATATTTTTTTGTTTTCTTACATGAATTATGATGCTTTTAAGAGCACTGCGGAATTTCAATGATTTCTCCTGCAGCAGCTGAGCGTGACTTAAACACCCAAAGTAATTGTTGTGTGATTACATTTGCCAAGTATTTGCTTTTAATTTATGTATGACAGCAATTTTATTTCCGATTACAAGGTTTAAAGAAGCAGTATGTAAAAATCTGGCCTAATTGGTACTGCAACCTCTCCCACTCTCCCTGACTCAGGTTGCCAGATATGCAGACAAATCCAGTTGGGACCATAATATCTGAATAGACAAGAGTTTTATCAACAACAAATCTATAACCAACACCTTATTCACAAAGGCCCCGATAGAAATCCTCTTTGTATATCTTGTTTTGTCATTAATGATTTGAGCATCATAACAAGACCTATGCTTTTTAGTTCTGCGGCCACATGTTACTTTACCAGTCAGATTAGCTTGTCGCAGTGAATTCTGGAAACCTGGATCACAGACTTTTTGATTGGTGAAACGGTGGAGGGCGGGACATCGAAATGAAAACAATAACAAGTTTTAGGGGCTGTAAAACTGATTTTGAAATCCAAATATCTCGGCTGAACTACTGTTATCAGTGAAAGAAGTGTTTGAAAAGAGCATGTTTTATTAATGCCTTTTGACAGATTAGGGCCATTTAATGTTGACTTTACATGAAAATCTTACATATTGCTACTTTAAGTAAAAAGGGAAAGTTACGAGAGACCTTTGAAAGCATCCAAAGGTCACAGAGACGGGAGCAAAACTTGTGAGACCCGTTTGATTACAATCCATCGCTACCACTCCATATTCCTAAAGTTCAGAAACGCACTCATTATTGCAGTGCAACCTTTTGAGATGTTTGGTTCTGTTCATGTCCCTCCAGGCAAGAAAGAAAAACCCCATGTAAGATCAGAAGAATCCTATCATCAAACGAGACAGAAGATTCTGGTAAAGGACATTTGAGTTGCTCTAGATTTGGCTCCTGCAAATATTTCTTTGCATTGCTTCTCAGATCAGTTTGTGTTGATAGATGTGACTGATGCTGAGGATCAAATGGGCTGGCTTCCACCTTTAGACTGTTCGCCTGAAGAAGTGGTCAGTTTTACATGTACAAGAAACAGTATTTATATAACAGTGGATATTACATTTAACCTGGATTTATTTATTTAAGAATCAAAATGAACAACGACAGTCAAACAGGTATGTGTATTTCTGATGCCCTTCATGTAATACATTTCCCATGAGACCAAACCTGAATGTGAGAGCTAGATCTGGGCCTGGTTAGTCCTGGGATGGGAGACCTCTGGGAACAGCAGGTGCCACAGTGGGGCGGCTGTAAAGTGCCAAACTTTTGTACCCTTAGGCGAGACACTTCAGCCACATTGTCTAGAATTAGTCTGGTGTGTGTGTGTGTGTGTGTGTGAATGGCTGGTGGTGGTCGGAGGGGCTGATGTCACATAAGGGTTGCCTTGCTTCTCCCAGTGTGCCCCAGGGCAGCTGTGGCTATAGAAGTAAGAGTTCAAGGTGACATTATTTGTACCCATGGGTAGAATACATTTTTTCAGTGAACAAGAGAGAGACTTGGCATCTACACAAAAATATTCATAAAAATCACATTTACGCAAAAAAACAACAGACAGATAAAAGTGGTCAAAAAGTGCTCCAGAGCTCTGAGTAAAAACCCAAGAAAATAAATAAATTGCAATGACATGTGAAGCGTCTTCGAGTGTCCAAAAAAGCGCTATATAAAACCAGTGCGTCATTAATAACCGCCGTGTTGTGTGTCTCCCAGAAGTCCTTCTCATGTGAGTGCGGCGAGGACAGGTGAGCTTTTGAAACTTTTAAAACCTCAAAAAAAAAAAACATTAAAAGGTCCTGTTTTTTCCAGAGCATGAGAATCAGGAGGCGGAGATCACAGAGACCGCAGCCACTCCAGTGAAGCACACAGTCAGTCATTTCTACGTGTTCACACTACCTACGACACTTTACACGGTACTAATAATGTATGTTGCTAGGAAACGAACACCACAAGGCAGAACGGCTGGTGTGAAGAAGAGCCCAACACCTCCATCGACTCTTGTCACTTCTGGAGAGAGTGCGCCTCCGCTGGCTGCGCTCAAGCCATATTCCTGGATTTTATCAACAAGATGACGGCTATATTCACGCGGATAACGTCGGGACAGGGCAGCAGACAAGGTGAACCCGACCAGGCACATGTCCTCACGGATTATGATGATGATGATGATGATGTGTCTGTTTTTTTTTGTTTTTTTAAACTTTATTTTTATAATTTTTCCTTTAAAGAAAACATAAGACAGTACAATACAAATAAAATTAAATAAAAAACATCATCCATTTCCCCCATTTCTTCTTTAATTGAGCATGGGTTATCTTTTCCATCAGAAAAATGTCATTGATTAGTGAAGTCCATTGGTCCTTAGGAAAGTACTTTGCTTGTATTCCAGTTCCTTGTTTTTTTTTTTTGCAGCCAAAGACATCATTTTGAACATTTTATTTTAATTTTTTGTTGTTGTCTGATGTTGATAAATAAAGCCATCTGTAAGTTGAACAGATAGAGTAGATCAGGGGTCACTGGCACATCATACCCAAATACTTGACCCATCACAATGGAAACAGTTTTCCAAAATACAGATACACCTGAACATTTCCAAAATATATGTGAATGGTCCACATCCACGCCGGCAGAACTGATGCTTCTTTAGCCGTTTATTAATTACACCAAAAATAAAAAGTAATCGAATAAGGCTCTTTCAGGCAAACATCCGAGAGCCGGTGGTGGTATGGTGACGCCTCCACAAATCTCAATCTTTAAGTTGAATTCTTGCTCCCATTTGATTTTAATGTTAAGGGTTGTGTGTCTTTGTAGTTCTGTAAGCGCTTAAAAAAATGCAGAGATTATTATTATTTCCACCTTTGTAGGCTTTGTCTGGACGACGCTACTCTCTTCATTGCAACTATTCCCCTGTATTTCTGTTTGATGATGTGTCTTTTAATGAAGTATTTAACTTTGACAGATTGCGATGCAGCTTTTAATGTGATTATGGCGTCAGGGAAACTCCAGGAGCTCGTGGCCAAACAACAAACAGGTAATGGCACAAAAACATTTAGGTTTTTCCACTCGAGCAGATGTAAGAGTTTGGCTTCTCCTGTGACAGATCTGAGGAAGAAGCTACAGGAACTGCAACGAGCTGAGAGAGCTTTAGACGAAGTGGCGTCGTTCCTCTTGAAATGAACAGGAGAAAAAACGTTTTTCAGGGAAAATGAGTGTGTTCACAGGTAAAATCTGGACTTTAAAAGGTTATAACTTAAAAACTAAAATTACTTTCATAGATTGGACAAAAGATTTCAAACACAGACACATTGAAGAGATAGTGTGGAAAAAATCTAAAGGAAAGATTGCCATAAACATTTTAAGCAACATTTTAAACGACCAAATGAGCCTCTGATTGGACCATTCTACTGTGACGCCAGTTACATAGAAAGTAAAATGTCCTCAGTCTGAAAAAGCAGAAGATGAAATCCCACAAGATTTACATGGTTAACACAACATCAGTAAATCACTTGATTATAAAAAGGAATCGTAAAAAAATACAAATTAATTAATTAATTAAATGACCCTTGATGAGGACTGTCCTCTTTTCTCTAAAAATTAAACTTGAGAAAAAAAATGTCTGGTCTGTTTTCACATTTAATTGCTTGACATTATGAAAGTATCACTTTGCATCTACTTTGTGTAAAAAAATAGAATCTCTGAAATGTAGACATCTGAAAATACCTATCAAACTTCCACAAAGCTCATTCCGTCAAATCATCACGTCCGTTACATAAAATAAACAGGGCCGCTATAGGAAACTTGTCTAATGTATAAAACAGTTATGTTCTAGCAACTTCTAATGGACAGAGGAGGTGCTTGGAAACATGAAAAACATAAAATATCTTCTGATTATTAAAATCTAATTTTTGGCCTTTTGTCACACTTTTGTGCCCTTTAGTGTGAACAAGCCCATATATATATATTATAGTATTTACATGGAGATATTTGCACATCAACACCTTTATTACAAACAATCCAAACTATATTCACAACATATCACGAGTATTTAGCATTACATGTTTTACTAGGAGAGAAGTGTAAGTGTGTGTGTGTGTGCGTGTGTGTGTGCGTGCGTGTGTGCGTGCGTGTGCGTGTCATCCGACCCTTTTTCAATCTGTTTATTTGTATCTTGTTTATTGCTTCATTTCAGATTTATTGTATTTGCCATTTGCAGTAAAACCACATTGGAATACTTTTGCACAAGACAATTTTGTATAAGTTTAAAATAAAATAATTGAAAATATGTGTTTTTTCTGTCTTCAACTGTTTAATACAAATGTCATAAGTCTTTAAGCAGATTACTGTCTATGTGCCCGAAAGCTGGCTTCTGGGTTACATCTGTGGGGTGACTTAAAGCAGAAGTCTTCTCCTAAAGGAACAAAAACATACATTAGCCAAACTTATATTTATACAAATATGTAAATCAGATTTGCAGACTCACTTTAGCCTCGTATCGCACACCGCAGCAGAACAAAGCCAAAAAGCATTTTCTATTGTAAATTGAGTTCACAGTTAAGTGTCAATAATACTCAAAATGAACTCAAAAACTAAAATTACTATCATAGATTGGAAAAAAGATTTCAAACACAGACACATCAAAGAGTGTGGATAATGTCAAAAGGAAAGATTGTCAAATAAATGTTTGCCGACATTTTAAACAACCCGATCAGCCTCTGACTGTGACGTCAGTTACATAGAAAATAAAATGTTATCAGTCTGAAAAAGCGGCAGATGAAATCCCACAAGATTAACATGGCTAACACAACATCAGTAAATCACTTGATTTGAAAAGGAATTGTTGGAAAAAAAATTGAAAATTAAAAATGAAATGACCCTTGAATAAATGTGTAACGGACGTGATGGTGACGGTAACAATTAAACTTGAGAAAAAAAATGTTTGGTCTGGTTTCACATTTAATTAGTTGACTATATGTTTCTACTCTGTGTAAAAAATATAGAATCTCTGAATCAAATGTCGACATCTGAAAATACGTAACAAACTGGGACTAGCTGTTTATAAACTGAACATAGAGGTTGTACAGTCATTAAATAGCAGACTAGGCCGAGCCACTTTAAAGATTTACAATTTTGTTGTCTTGTATCTAAATTGGATACAAGCTTATGTTTGTTGCAAGATTTTTACTTGCTAATGAAAAGTTGTTTTAAATAAAATATTAGGAGAACAACAACAGACAGCGTTTTGGCCTCTGGTTGTTTATATCTTTTTATAAATTTTAGATTGAATTATTCTCTTTAATAATTCAACATAATTCCGTCAAATCATCACGTTTGTTACAAAAAATAAACAGGGCCGCTATAGGAAACTTGTCTAAATTTATGAAACAGTTCTGTTCTAGCAACTTCCAATGGACAGAGGAGGTATTTGGATACATGAAAAACATAAAATATCTTCTGATTATTCAAATCTAATTTTTGGCCCTTTCTCACACTTTGGTCCCTTTAGTCTGAACAAGCCCAATTCCTGTCTTTGTGATGTGCAGACAGAGCCAATTCTTGCGTTTTTATCAGAATAAAGCCACAGGATACATCAGGATAGATATTTGTTGTATGAAGTAACAGTACGGTCTGCGAAGGATGTTCCAATCCACTTTATAGGGTTAGGGTTCGCACATTTTATAAAACAAGTTGCCAAAGTGCTGCACAGAGACAAAAGGAACACATTTGAAATATACAGGCTTGTCAGCATTATATGTATCAACAATGGAATTATAGTAAAACAATTAAGATGTATGAAGTAAAAACAATAAAAATGGAATAAAAACCATAATATAACTACTCAACTTTCACAAAAGAATGACTAGTTTGTGATAAAACCCATGAAACTAGCTCTTCTCTCTCAATACTTTGTCTTATCTCTAGTTTTCTCATGTGTGTTTGGCCTTCGTCACGTTTTAGATCAAGTTGAATCATGAAAAAACGCACCAGCCCCCACTCGGCCAATCACCTCTCAGCCTGTAAAAGAGGGTCTGAACATAATACTTCTAAAATACTTTCTGTTGAGATACTTTCTAATATTGAGAACTGCTTTGTACTAATTAATACAATTGCAATCCACACAAACCTGCAGGTCTGCCATCTCTGGATTATCAAACTTATTTATCAGAGACTGGCCACCGGTCTTTCATGCTCTGAAGCAAAATTCATTCACAGCAACGCTTACACAAACAACAAAAGTGCAAAAATAGATGTGGGGCCTTCTAAAAACACAAACTATCCATAAGCAATGAAAGGAAGACTGGCATACAACTCTCACCGAGGACTTTCTGAGAGCCACCTTTTCTCGCAAAGTCAATACAGAGACTTGTGCAAATACAAAACCACATAAACTGTTGTTGAGAGTAAAGTCTTCCAAGTGGAAAGGCAGAAACAGGGAGGTCCAAGGACAGTGGTGATGATCCAGGACACTTGACATTCAATGATATTTATGGACTTTATCAACTTTTATAGACATTGGTCATCTGCCCCTAATGGACCAATGGCTCTATGAGTTTTTTTTATCATTCGATTTCTTGTGTTTGGAAAGTCCTAGGGCTATACAAAACCAAATAGAACTGATTTAAATACTCTCGAGAGATCAAGCGATATGGGTTTACTCAGGCTGAAGGCAATTTTTAAAAAGGTTTGACTGGCCGATGGCTCATTTACCGTAAATTACCGATTTTAAGGACTGATTTATCAAAACAAAAGTGCAGATAAACACGGAGTAAGGGCTTTTGCTTTTTTATGATTTCCCCAACTATACACCACCTACATTTAGAAAAGATGTTATGTTGGGTGGACTAAGAACAAGTGTCCATTGTCCACTTCTGTCAGTGATGACCCATGTCCAAACACAACACCCACAACCAGCTGGTACTGCAGCCCGGACTGGACACTCTGTGAGGGGTGGGCTGGGTGCTGGAGGATGTACTTATTAAATAACTTATGTGTAGACCTGACTAAAGTGTGTGCTGAATAAGTCCACTGTACAAGTCCATGTGTTTACACTACTGTCCACCAATCACAAAAAGGTTGTTCCCACTCAAAGCCTCTTGACTGAATTCTTTGGGTGTTCAGCTAATAAGCGCCTTAGTGATGGAGAAGTGCTGGGACAAGAATACAGAGAGCCAGAGTTTACATATTCCCAACAGTCTTCCCAAACAAATTAGTGACATTATCAATATCTGACACCAGTGTTGGGAATAGCACTGTGCTCTCTATAAAGTTGTTACCTTCGGTGGCCAAAAAGCACTTGAGGTCCATCTGCGTCGCTGAAGCTGAGCCACCACCTTCCTGCAGTCAGTAAGTCACATTTCTTGGAGCAGTAATACTTGAACTGTAAAGAGCAGACGTGCACCTGTAATGAGCATGATGTGTTATTTTTGAGCCTTTAAGTTGCAAAATGTAAGATTGTCATGTCAAGTCATCCCTACATGGCCCAAACATATCAAAAGGCATCAATAAATCATGCTCTTTTCGAATACTTCTCTAACTGATGATAGTAGTTCAGACGAGAAATTTGAGTCTTCTACTTGTTACACATGGCTCCTTTAAACATCCGTCCGTTTACTTGTAATTCTCTCTGCTACCACCAAAGGGACACGATCTATTTTATTAACATTCTGTTATTATATGCTTTGTAGAAATGTTGTACATAGATATGGATTTAGCCCATTGCAAATATACTTTAGAGCTGTAGGTTCTCATTTCAGGGTGGCTATGCACATTTTATGAAAGACTTTACATTGTGTTTGTCAGGTGACTTGTAATCACTGTGTACACATATACAGGTGTATATAAATAAAATAATCTCTTGGGAGCTAAAGCTGTGTCCACTTTTTGAACGAAACTTTCGGATATTATTTGACGAGTGTGTATCACCAGAATGAAAGACAATTGGGAGGACCAATAGTCTTGATGATCCACCCAAAAGTAGAAAATCTTCCTATTCACCTTTAATTTTCCGAACAAATTACCAAAATTAATTTAGGCAAATACGGGTTAGAGAGGCCGAAACAGCACATCATTGCATCATTACATACCACGTTTGAGAAAGTAGGATTCAGACAGACCCTGGGGAAGTGTTTGTGCCTGAAGTTTCTGATGTGAGCGAGGATGCGCCATGATGCGCATGGCGT